CCTCAATACCCAGCAGAAACTATTTTGCCCTTATCTCTAATTTTGTTGTAGAGAGAGTATAAGCAATAATAGGAAGGAACAAGGGTTTTTGCTGGTTGAGATAAGGATAGCTATACAGGGAGTTGACTCACATTAATTTCCTGTGCGTGTGTGTTACCTTCTAGGTTAATTCTTCTTGATCTCACCTTTTCTCTAGTTCCTGGTCCCCTTCTCCTGTTGGCCTCAGTTGCTTTTAAGGTATCTGCTTTAGTTTCTCTCCGTTAAGGACAACAAATACTAGCTGATTTTTTAGGTGTCTTACCTATCCTCACCCCTTCCTTGTGTGCTCTCGCTTTTATCATGTGCTCAGAGTCTATCACTGTATTTCCTATTTTGGGGGTTGATATCATGCCAACAATTAGTCTTTCCTAACGTTGAGAAATACAAGCATATTAGTGACTGATTATCTAGTGGTTTTCTAAAATCACCAGATGTCTAAAATTCTAAACCTGGTGCCCAGCTGAAAACCTTTGGAATGGATAAACCCTTTTATAAACCTAAACTTAAACCTTATTCCAACTTTTGGGTTATAGTTTGACATTTTCTCTCCCTCTCCTCCCCTCGTTTTTCCTCCCCTCCTTACTTCCTTCCTGCCTTCCTCTCCTCTCCCTTCCCCTTCCCTTTCTTTCCCTCCCCTCCCCATAGGTAATTAAGGATATTTGAACCTAGAGATATTGACTGCACCATTCTACCATTTAGGAGTTTTGTTAGGTTAGAGAAATGCTTCGATACTAGAGAAATAGCATTCACAGTGTAAACATATAAACGTACTGCTTTGATGGCACGTAAGTGGTTGCACGTAAGTGGTTGCATCTGTAGGCACCTTTCAATGTTTTGTATTAACTAAAGAGATATTGGTCAGATTGTTATTTTAGATTATCTGTTATGTTTAGAATTTACTTTTGTTTCTGCTGCTACCTCCTAATTCAGATTTGGGTTACCTGCCACCTGAGCTAATGTAGCTTCTTGTGATTAGACTCTGGGATTTTGTTCTCTCCTCAGTACATTTACATCCATATGATTGACAGGTTAGTTTTACTAACTAGTGACGTGTATTGCTTACCAGAGAGACCATGAACTCATCTTGGCATTGAAGATTTGCTCATCCATCCCATCCTCATTGCTGTCACTCCTAGTTGAGACCCCCTGCCATTTGTTGTCCCCTCCTCAGGGAAGACTTCCCTGGCTTCCTCTCACAGCCCTTTGTGCAACTCTCACAGCACCTAATCATTTAGCCCACATCACTAAATCTAGGAAATGAGGCATTCGGTACATGTTGGTGCACATCATCCAGAGATGATCTTCTTTACACGTTTGCAAGCTTTCCTGGTGTGATTTCCAGAGTGGGCTGTATACTCAAGTCATCTAGATTTACTTTGTTGACATTCCTTCTGCTAATTTGTTTATGAATGAATCTCAAAGTATGCCAGAAAGGACATTAGCTTTATTTCCATTTTAATTAGTTAGAAAATATAATTATTTTCCTTCTTTACTTAGCTTTCTTACTTGATTTTGTATGTTAGTTTCTTCCAACACATTTGTAGTTTTTCTCCTTAAATTATGCCATATTTCATGCCATTAAAATATGATCTGTATGCAGGTAAATTAATTCCGTTAACATTTTACTCTGAGGTACACAGAGATTGCCCAGTGCATGGTGATATATTTAGATATTCAGAAGGGATGTTATAAAGCTCATGCTGGCTATAGTCCTCCTCAGGTCTTAGGGCAGAGAATGGCCACACATAAAGCCAACTCCTTACAACACTGAGAAAAAGGTTTGGTTCTGTGTAAGCAGAAAGGCACTTTTTCTGGGTGAGGAGGCCTACTGTGATAAGCATGTGGTATGGTTTTGGTCCTGTGAAATAATACTGTCAGTTTATCTCTTCTTGAGTTTTTGTTTGTATCCTATAATTTATTTTCTCCTTTTACAGACGTTTCTAAGGAATGTGTTTGTAAACTTAATATAATACAAAAGAGGGTATTATTTACGGACCTAGTTTTTAAATTCAAGTCAAGACTTACTGATAAATGTGAATGTCTGAAATCAGAATACTTAATAAATTTTCAGAGTTCTAGTTATTTGCTCACTTCATATCATACCATGTAGAAAGTCCAAGTCTGTATACCTGTTAAACATGAGAATGGTAAGTGCCAAATTGATTTTGCCAAATTTCCTTTGACTAAGAAGTCATTTATCATATATGGTCCAAAGGTGAAATGTTTATTATGTACAAGCTTGCTTTTAATTCTGTACTTCTGAATGATTATTGTAGAATACTGGTAAACTTAGTCATTATAAGCAATGAAAGAACCTTGTTGAAGGAATTATGTGATGAATCATTTTCTAAAGAGTAATGAGCCCTAGGGTACTTTTTCAAATTAAAAATCATACATTAGATTTTAAGGAAAAGGTTTTTAATAAGGAAATAACAATAATAACTACTATAGAAACAGAAAGTTTGCCTGTTCTATTTAAATATGCCTCTGTACCATATGTGATTACAGTCATCAGTAAAAATGTGAAAATTAAGATTGCCTTGACACCTCCATATTAAAAGTTGTGTTAATGGTTTCAGTTCTTTGCTGTAGTCAAAACATGCTATCCATACCTAGTGATATCTTACCTTGAAAGTGTGGTTCTTTTGAGTACTATTCAGTTTTTTTCCTCCAGTATCTAATCCCCCTGGTCACCCAAGTGTCCCCTGCCCATTGTGCCCTGTGTGGCAAGGACAGCCACACAGACTCTGTCATCCTTAGAGAGAAGAGGTAGTATGGTAGTGATGTCAGAACACTCATGGGTCTCTTTCTGTACAGTGGGGGTTATGGCTCCACCTCAAAAATGTGGAGTGAGAATTAAGTGACTATAATGTCTTCAAACAAGGCCTGGTGCATAACAAGCCCTAGACACATGTCCCCTGTTGCTATTTTAGGCTTTTTTTCAAGGCACTATTATTTCCTTAGACCTGTTCCTTGGTCATATGTACAAACTTAAAAAAATGACTTCTGTTTTTTTCTTTCAATAAATAAATAAAGAGAAGTAGAAAAGAAAGATTGGTAGATATGGTGGATATCCTCAGCTGCTTTTGTAGCTCAACTAGACGTCTGAGAACCATTTAACAATAGAGTTAAAGCACTAGAAAAAAATCTTACCCTTGTCATATTATAATTGCAGTTTTTGTTGAGTATCCATTAGGGATTGATTCTAGGATCTGCCTCTACCTATGTATACCAAAATCTAGAGGATGCTCACTCACGTCTCATGTATAAAATGACATCCTTACATATAACCTATACATCTTTCCTTATACTTTAAATCATTTCTACATTACTTATAATACCTAAGACAATGTAAGGTACTGTGCAAATACTCGTTTAGAGAATAACGATAAGAAAAATGTCTGTGTGTTCAGTGGAGATGCAGTTGTTCCTCAGTCTGTGGTTGGTTGAGTTCATGGTTGTAGAGGACCAACTGTGTGTAATCTCAGCACTTGCAGGGGCAGTGTAATTACTCTTTGCTTGATCAGTATAAGAATCCCCCAAGGAGTTGGTGAATGGAGTGTAGGGGGGGTGCTGTCGGGTTGTCAGGTGATGAGACAGAATGTTCAGGAATCACAGGAGTAGATGATGAAAAGTTCCCTCTGTCCTAGCATGCCCTCCACATTTGGCTCCCTTTTCCTTTTTCTTTTACAGGCTTTTTGGGAGCTTATGTCAGTGGAAACCACAGCTTCTGGCTTTTATAATGAGTACTTGATCAGGTATGATTGACTTGTATTTACCATTCTTCATTGGCTCCTCTCAGAAACCCAGCTCCTTTGTAAGTAGTACAGACCCCCCAAGGGTGAATCTTGTTCCAGTGATTGTTCACACTCAGAAAACATACAACAAAAGCATGTATTCCACCCTGACTGCCTCTGCATTGTAGAAGAACCTGTAAGAGGAGGCAAAGCTTCATACTGGAGAATGATTAGCTTTGAATCAGAAGAGAAAAGGTCAGTTCTATGTTTTAGTGAGAGCCCAGCACTTGGACTGTGCCTTTGCACCCCCTTTGCTGGTATTGTGGGGCTCATCACTGCTGCTACACCCAAGAGACAGGCAGGGGGAGAGGGCATGGTATATATTCACAAGTTCCATATCCGTGTTGTTCTCAATCAGAAATCCACAAAGCAAATGTCATCCCTGTGGTAACCCAGGTCTGGACTTCAGGACGGGGTCCTCTCTGTTCTGCCAGCAGGTGTCTTGGTGGTGCCTCACCCTGTGCTAAGGAAGTTGCCACTTTGTTCACGAGTGTCTTCTCTTCCTCTGGTACTTACTTGCCTTCACAACAGCCAGGTGGTGTCAGGTTCTCTAACGGAGAGCTGCATCACTTTCTGTGTTGGGGAAACAACTTGTGGGTATTGGGTCAGCACACATGGTCATGCATCTTCTGATAGAGGCTGTCTTAAGGATGATTCTCTGTCTGCTGTCAGAAGGTGGAGACAATCAGCAGAGCGTGGTAGCTCAGGCCTATTGTTTCAGCTGATTGGAGGCTGAGGTTGGAGGATTGCTTGAGACCAAGAGTTTGAGACCAGCCTAGGCAATGATATCCTCATCTCAAAAACATGAACAACAAAAAAAGCCATCAACAGCAACAACAAAAACAAAAAAAGATGGAGGATACCAGTGATTCATTAGATACTGGAAATTGAAATTATTTAATGCATTTTAAAACATGAGTGCTATTTTTCAGAGAGAAGAAAACATAATTATATCCCCAACATTTTAAAAAATTTTTAATTAGTTGCTTTAGCAGTAGAATAAAAAGGGTACTTACATTACCAAGTTGCAACAAGTTTATAGCAATAACAAAAATACTCCATAGTGATTTAGAATCAAATACTAGCAAAATACACATCATAAGCTACTGGGTCAGGTATCTGGGAGTGCCCTGGGGATCTATGGGTCTTACCTGCAGTTGTCCAGAAACTTTTGAAATGACTGGTAAACTCTGACTGAGAGTGAGAACCTAACGTGCTGCACAAGTGTGTTTGCTTAGCAATGCAGCGGCCAGTTCAACATTACTGTGGTAGTAAAAGGCAGAGGAGTGAGAAAATCCTGCACACTGTGGCAGCTAAGATGGATGCATACATACTGAATGGATGAGGTAAGTGTATAATTGGTGAAGGTCTGTGATCTGGAAGCTCCTGTATTCAGGCCTGCCCTTGCACAGGGAATCTATCTCCTGACAGCTTCTCTGTCTTTCTGCATTTTCTTTGGAGGTATTTTTTAAAAATTTTTGTCTTCTTTCTAAAAGAAAAGGTTAAGAATTCCTCTTAAGGAATTCCTGATTTTTAAATTAAAAAATTTTAATGTGTTTAAATTGAAGAGAAACAGTAGTTGATAAACACATTTTAAATATAGTCTTTATTAATCTATATTCATAACCATGAGCAAAGATATAGAGCATTACATATGGTTTTGATGTATCCCTTATGTTGTTGGTTTATGTAGTTATGAAAAAAAATCTGAACAGAAAGCTTTTGTGTAATCAGGTAAAAGGATATTCATAAAGATAAGGTTACAGGAAAAGAGGCTCAACAAGATGATTTGTAAGCCATCCTTCCTTACTTGTGTCACAGGGCCACGGTGATTTCCTACTGTGTCAGTAGGAATAGTGTTCAGAAATAGTGTATTCTTTACTCATTTCTGTTTTTCTTTCTCTCATCATTTACATGGAGTACTCCACTACAGACAGAGGCTTTTTTTTTTTAAAAATTACTTATATGTGCTCACGCTGTTTGGGTCATTTCTCCCCAGACAGAGGCTTTGTTACACTGTTGACCATGAGCGAAATGTGCCACAGTGCTAGCCTGCTAATGTATAACTGCATTTTAATTTGAAACAATGAGGACAAAAACTAGCATTATGTAAGTCAGAGTCAGGCAAAGCGAAAGGCTTACCTTGGTAGCCACTTAAATTTCCATGTCCCAACCCAGAGCCCATATAGGCAACCTTAGGCCACGCATCCACTACCCCTGGTGCCATGCCCACCTCTCACAGGCCGCCTCCATCTGGTACCTCCTAGGTTGTGCCCGCTGTTGGTACATTGTTAGAAACATGCTTTTACCTTCCTTTCTAATATTCCTAATAATTGCAGGCAGTTTAGGAAGAGAAACTTGTGCATTATTTTGAAGCATTTTGTACTTTAAAGACAAAAATAATAAAAGTGTTTAATACAGATTTAAACATTTAAAACTAAGGCTCAGTACAAGGAAAGCTTGTTAGGGAAAGAAATAATCTTTCCATCTATTTGTTGTCCATATGCAAAAGTATGTGCTTCAATCCATACATCTCTCACCATATGTAAAAATTAACAAAAATGCCTTGAAGTGCTAAATACAAAACCTAAAAAGAGAAACTCCTACAACAATGTTCAGAGGAAAAAAAAATCTCTGCTGTTGAGTTAGAAAGCAAGATTTCTTACATGTAATACGTGAAAAGCGTAGTCCATAATAAGGAAAAAAAAAAAAAGGGAAAACAGTTGTTCCTTTGTACCCAAGGGTTCTATCCACATATTCAACCAACCCGGGATCAAAAATATTTGAAAAAAGTTGATTCTGTTCTGAACATCCGTAGACATTTTGCTTGTTGGTATTCCATAAACATAGTAGTATAACAACTATTTATACGGCATTTACATTGTATTAGTTATAATAATTAAGACATGATAATGTGTACAGGTGAAGAAGTGGATTAAATTTCAAGCATACCATACAATTTTACATCAGGAACTAGAGCATCTGTACCAAAATCCATAGGTCCTGATGATACTGAGGGAAAGCTATAATAGGCTTCATCTAAATTAAGGATATCTATTGTCAAAAGACACCATTAAGAGAATGGAAAGGTAGTCCCCAACCAGACTGGGAGAAAAATCTGCATTTTCCTGATAGAGGGCTGTATCTAAATTACGTAAAGATTCTCACTATGCATTAGTAAGAAAACTAAACCTAGTTGAAAAAGTCAAGATATTTAAGCACATTTCCCTAAAGATGATATAAATATGGCAAAAAAGCATATAAAATGATACCTAATATTAATATCATTAGTCATTAGAGAAATGCAAATTTAAACCACAGTGAGACAGTACTCAACATATATTAGAATGGCTAACATTAAAAAGGCTATACTAACTGTTGGCAGTGACATGGTACATTTGGAACTTTCATACACTATGCATAAAATGTGAAATGGTATAAACAATTTGGGAAACAGTTTGGCATTTTCTTAAAAAGTTAAACATATACCTACAATATGAGCTGTATGGTAAGCATATGGTAGGATATAATAGCAGCTTATGAATTTCTATCACTTATTTTTACAGCTACATAGATGTCCTCATTTTTTCTTCTCCACTATATAGCTATGTCCCTATTGGTAGACATTTGACTTGTTTTCCTTCTTTGTTATTAAAATAATGTCACAAGGAAAAGCCTTTGTCATATACTGTTTCACATTTTTGCCAGTACACTTTTTCACTGGTTTTTGGGGGAGTGAAATAGCTGAATCTTTTTTTTTCTTTCCCTTTTTTTTCTTTATTTTTTAAATTATTTTATTTTATTTTTCTTTTATTATTCATATGTGCATACAAGGCTTGGGTCATTTCTCCCCCCTGCCCCCACCCCCTCCCTTACCACCCACCCCACCCCCTCCCTCTCCCCCCACCCCCTCAATACCCAGCAGAAACTATTTTGCCCTTATTTCTAATTTTGTTGTAGAGAGAGTATAAGCAATAATAGGAAGGAACAAGGGTTTTTGCTGGTTGAGATAAGGATAGCTATACAGGGAGTTGACTCACATTAATTTCCTGTGTGTGGGTGTTACCTTCTAGGTTAATTCTTTTTGATCTCACCTTTTCTCTAGTTCCTGGTCCCCTTTTCCTATTGGCCTCAGTTGCTTTTAAGGTATCTGCTTTAGTTTCTCTGCATTAAGGGCAACAAATGCTAACTAATTTTTTAGGTGTCTTACCTATCCTCACCCCTCCCTTGTGTGCTCTCGCTTTTATCATGTGCTCAAAGTACAATGCCATTGTTGTGTTTGCCCTTGATCTAATGTCCACATATGAGGGAGAACATACGATTTTTGGTCTTTTGGGCCAGGCTAACCTCACTCAGAATGATGTTCTCCAATTCCATCCATTTACCAGCGAATGATAACATTTCGTTCTTCTTCATGGCTGCATAGAATTCCATTGTGTATAGATACCACATTTTCTTAATCCATTTGTCAGTGGTGGGGCATCTTGGCTGTTTCCATAAGTTGGCTATTGTGAATAGTGCCACAATAAACATGGGTGTGCAGGTGCCTCTGGAGTAACCTGTGTCACAGTCTTTTAGGTATATCCCAGGAGTGGTATTGCTGGATCAAATGGTAGATCAATGTTTAGCTTTTTAAGTAGCCTCCAAATTTTTTTCCAGAGTGGTTGAACTAGTTTATATTCCCACCAACAGTGCATGAGGGTTCCTTTTTCCCCGCATCCTCGCCAACACCTGTTGCTGGTGGTGTTGCTGATGATGGCTATTCTAACAGGGGTGAGGTGGAATCTTAGCGTGGTTTTAATTTGCATTTCCTTTATTGCTAGAGATGGTGAGCATTTTTTCATGTGTTTTTTGGCCATTTGAATTTCTTCTTTTGAGAAATTTCTGTTTAGTTCACTTGCCCATTTCTTTATTGGTTCATTAGTTTTGGGAGAATTTAGTTTTTTAAGTTCCCTATATAT